TTTTTTTTTTTTTTTAATTCAGCTTGCCTGATATATAACTTTTTTAATTATATAGATAGTTCACACAATTTACATTTGAATTGCTATTTTCTTGGTACTAAATATGAGACAAACAGAGAGGAATTTTTAAAAGTTCCATCTCATTGGTATTTTATAATCATGAAATATGTAAACTTTTGAACCTCTTCCTAAGGGTTATAATAATATGTTTTTCAAGTTCTCAGTATATAGACATATGGGGGAGAGAACCAGAGGGAGGCCAGAAGAGTAATCTTTATCTTCAAACATCACCAACGAGAACTTTATATGCACCCTACAATATATAAATAGTTTTACCAAAAATACAAAAAAATGAGTAGTGTAAAAGAACAATATCAAGAATAAAAACATACGAGAATGAAAGAAAAGCTACACTTTTCAATTTCAGTCATCAACAATCTTTTGTTAAAAAATTAAACTGACATGTAAAACACCACATTTTACAATACACAGATTCATTACTTCTTTAAGAAAACAAACAAAAAACGCATAAAGACACACAATACTAACATATATTTTAGACTCTTGGTACATTGCTTTGAAATCTTTAAATGTTATCATATGCCTAATATAGCCTGAATAATAGTCTGTTTTACTTCTGTAATAACAATCACCATTTTCCAAAAAAGCAAGGCAAGCTTACCATTTGAGTGTGAAAGTAATTCTTCACTTACTTGTAATTAGCAAATTGGAAAAAACAAGAAAAGGAAAACACAATAAAAATGGAACAAGAACCAACTCATATAGCTCTCATCGGTCCCACAGAAGAAATAGAAATTCTAGCTAGAAAGCCTCAAAGGAATATACATCAAGCAGAAAACTATGTCAAAATTAATATACATCACCTTTTAGTTTGCAGTTATTTAATTCTCTTCCCGAAACATGGATGGGTGTAATACATAATGGATCTTCCTCAAAAAGGCTATTTGACCTTAACAGTAAACCTTTCATTCATACTCTAGGAAAGTTAAGTCACACTAGTTTTTCACACTGGATTTATAAGTGCCTTAGCCACCTTCACCCACAATACTCTAATGGAGTGCTCCTTCTTCATTTGTAAAATCTTCTCTGTCATATTATTTCCCATTCAAAACCACACTGGCTGTTGAAAAATATTCGTCTTCTAGTCTTTCTAAAACTACACGGTCCTCTTCATTGCTCCATCATCCTTTCTCTTAAATTATTTCTGTTCTCATGATCCATTTTGCTAATAGGCCCCTCTCCCCACACCCGCATAGGCTAATGGAGGTCTGTAGGTGAAAATAACGGACTAGTTGATAAAGAACACAAAGTTACAGTGGCACGGCAGCTGTGATACTCAATGTATTATTCGCTGAACTCTGTTTTACTCCTGAAATGGAAAATAGTCTTTATCTTCTGGCATAAAATGCTGTGGTATCTTGTCATGTCATCACAAACAATATCTGTCTTAATGGGACAGTCTTGATTGCCACAAGAAAATCAAATCCTACATGAAAAGGTAGCACAGGTCCTATGAAGCATGGATCTTTTGTGTTTGCAGGCTGTCTTGCATGTATGGAATTCCGCAGACTGTAGCCCTGCCTTTTCAGTAATGAAAGCATCTAGTGACAAGAATGGGAACAATGGAGCATTCCACAGAGGGGCTAGGTGGCAGGACACTGGTTCAACTGGGAAGCTAAGACAAAGAAAGATAAAAAGAGACAAAAAGCCTCACTTTTATGCATGTGTATAATTCTTTATAACTTAAAAACATACCTAGCCATGCCTCAATGCAGGAGGCCTTGACATATTAAAATTTTAAAACAAAACTAGCCATCTAATATCATACATGGGATTGAAACATTTAGATGTCACTTTTTTTTTTTTTTTTTACAAAAAAAATAATAATAAGTAAAAAATAAAAAACACATAGAGCTCATGTTGGACTGTGAAAAAAAGACAGTCATGGATTTTTTTGCCCTAAAATCTGATACTTTATTCTGTATCCTAGAAAACACTGGGTTTTGTTTTTTTTTTTTTAATTTACACAACTGATTCTGCATGTTCCAACTACTCTGAGTACTCCGCCTTACAGTGCAATCCAACACAAGTCAACTAGACTAAGTATTTGGGAGGTACACCCTTCTGTACAGCTCGTTTGTAAGCAATGCAAGTGCATAACCACTACTCTAATATAGTGCTCAAAAGATTAATTTTTAAACTCTCATAACTTCTTCCCTTTTTATAACAATACAACTGCAGGTAACTGCTGGATGCATCATACTCTTTTAATCTTGTCGAACTTGGCATCGAGTCTCTACGGAAAGACGCATGGCCAAACGGTGCCACTGCTGTTACTGCTTCTAGAAACAACTGGCAAAAAAATACTTAAAGCTACAAGTTATTGCTCCAGATTTAACTCGCAGAACCATACTGTTGTGTACAAACTGTTAATCTCCATAGATGCTCAGACATGATTGTCTCCTTGTGTCTAAACACACGAAATACCAGCCGCTATCTGTACAGTTTACAGTACTGAAACACATATATTTGAAAATGAAGTATAGATATGTACTTTGCAAAGATACATGATTTTACAGCAGGGGTTTACCCAAATTTATTTTTTACAGCCTCTTTCAAAATAGACAACAACTTCACTAGTATCTCTAAATTACATCAAAGAGAGAATCGGTGTACTGAAAGTAAAGGGACTGGCCAATTCCCCTAAAATCTTAGATTATTTTTACTTGTCTTTTTTCTTTTCTATCCTTTTTTTTTTTTTTTTTTGAAGAAACCCCTATACATAAAATGAAAATAATATCTGGATATTTTCTTCAGTGGTGGACTAAGCAGTCTCTTAAAACAAGACATCAGTTTGCCCTTCACTTCCAAATGCCTTGAAAATAAGATATACTACTGCTTTAAAAGAACCATCGGAATGCTTCGGCGCTGGGAACAGGCGTTCTCTATAAAAAAAGAGCAAGAAAACAAGTTAAGCTTTCTTTCTATGCCATAAAATTATATTTTTCTCCTTTAGACTTCAGCAATATTTTTAGTCAGCAATGTCAATATAATGGCTTACACATTTCAACATTTAATAAAAAATGTTCAATCTTCAAAAATTATAAAAACTAGAATATTGACTTTAATGTTGATTTATTAAATATAATGATTCTTAAAAATTGGTCTAAACAAATCTGGGAAACACAGCCGGGGACATGTATCTCAATCAGAATAAAGAGGAAGGTTAAAGCTATTCACCAATAATAGGAAGATCATCAGCCAGCACGTAATCAGCTACGTAGACAGTCTTCAGAATGAGTCAGTGATACGAGAACTGTGGGCAGGTAAACTGACTGTATTTGAATTAGTCTGTCTCTAACCACATTGTTGCTGTTGGCTGCCACCGCGTCGATGCCGACTCATGGTTACTCCACGTGGACCCTACATGTGCAGAACAGAACTACTCCACTAAGTTTGCATGGTTGTCATCTTTTGGAAGCAGATGGCCAGGACTGTCTTCTGAGGTTCCTGCGAGTGGGTTCGAACCACCAACCTTTCAGCTAACAGTTGAGCGCTTAACCATTTGAGCCACCCAGGGATGCTGTCTCTAATCATACTAACAAAAATGCAACCAAAAAATTCAACTGAAATTTAGACCCCTGTTTTTCTGGTCAGAGTCAGAATACAGACATAAACACCGTAAGGCAGATGTTCAGAATCTAGTGAGGTAATTTCTTTATTCTGGAGAGCTTCTTTTATCATAGGATAACAACTATTATTGAATCAATATTACCTCTATCACTTATCAATTACTAAATGCTAAACTTATCTCTCTATATAATATAATGAGAATTATACCAATAAAGTATATATTATAAAACAAGTCTGCATTTTCAACTAATGTCATAAATATGAAACCAACTGATACTAACCAATCTTACTCAATAAAACCTAACTATCCTTTTGTACCATAAAAATACTATAAATGATTTCCAAACGAATAACAAGCTAGCACCAAAAATATGCATCATCTTTTTAACAAGAAACTTACAGTTACTACGGGTTTTTTTGATAGATAAACAGAACTTAAGTTATTGGATTTTCCTCTGTATATTAATATCCAGCAAGTCACTATATTCTTCTTGAAAATGCCTCATCCTATTCTATTGTATGTATTCTCATGGTTTACTTAAAACAGAATTGCATGAGTACATATTAAATGTATATAAGAAAAATAAGCCCAAAGTACATTCCCTGTAAGGGCAAATGGAAGACAGTTGATTGTATTCCCTAGACCAGTCAAACAAACCTACGTGGAGCATAAGATGGTTACTAAAAACAAATAAGTATATAAACTGGTAAGTTATATGAATGTTACTAAATTCATATTTAATAATAATGAATTTTATATTTAATGAAACATTCTATTACAAACACTTTAATAACTGAGTTAGCTTTTAGTTACTTTCTCACACGTGAGTTATTTGGTTTGCATAGTCCTACTGGAGTATCATAGTCTAAAAATAAAAGTGTATTAATTGATTAAGATATCAATTAGATATTTAGATGAATAAAATAACAATTTTGGAGAACAAAGCTGTTTTCCAATACCTACATTAAAATACATATATATATAAACTATCCTCAGAGACAAAAGAATAAATAAAACTAATTTTAAAATAAATGTTTTAAGAACAAGCTAATCATCTGCTATAATTTATCTAATCCAAGCTTGCATATGTATATATACAAAAATATTTAACTTGTGGAGTATTTTCCAAAAACACATACAAGAAGGTCTACTCTTTCTTTCAAAACAGTGGCAATCTTATTAATATTTTACTACTTAGTCCTTATATTAAACGTGTTTTCCCCTCTCCAACTCATTACCCATACCTGGATCCCAGTCATTTGATTTGACTGGTGAGAAAAATACCTTTACTACTTCCTAAAACTAAATTTCAAATGATAAACTTAATATTTATATATCCTGATTTCATTTATTTAGTCATTATTAGATGAACTACACATAACACGTTCGTTTTAATATCCACACTTTACACACACACCACACACACATACACACGCAGTAAACAAACACTTAGAAGTTTATACCAGATGCTACCTTGCAGCTTGATGCCAACTAAGAATAAATTTTATATAAGTAAGCCTACTTATATAAATGTAGTCATTTTTTTAAAAAGATAAGTTAGATCCAAACAACCATGAAATTATAGATCTACGGTTATAGATTCATATATGAAAAATAAATGTGCATATATATTCATATATATTTACATACATTGATGTGTACAGTGTATGACAGAGATGCCAACATACTCTCAGATGCCAAATGGAAACAAGATTATAAGTATATACTTATATAAGCTTGTATCTTGATAAACATATATGTTTATGAATATAAACAAAAAAAGGAGTACTTTTTTAAATTTTTCTGTTCTCTATTTCATTTATTTCTACTCTGATCTTTATTATTGCCTTTCTTCTTTTTTTTTTTTTTTTTTTTTTTGCTGTGCTCTTTTTCTGCTACTTAATTTTATTTGCAGTATCCAGGAAAAGCAAACTTTATAAAATGGTGCTTGATATTAAAGGTCATTGTTGTGAGAAAAAAGGTAATCACTTTTCAATGCTTGTTAGCACTAAAAAATAATTAAACAATGCAAATATGGTTTTCCATACTAACAAGATGTGTCACAAAATAGCACTGTTATGGGTACATATTACTATGCATACATTAAGGTCAGTCTGTATCTCCAAATGTAATGATATGGATTATTCATTGCTTCAGGAGAAAGGAGAAGGTAAGCAGGAAAACACCTTTTAAAAATTATTTCCTCATGTTAAGAGCTTTGAGGTCATGAAATCAAAAAATGATTAGTTTGGAAATCACCAAAATATTAGTAAATATGTCATAAAAATTAAGGAAAACATATGTGTATTAATTAGAATGAATTATCAGGGCATGTAGCAGAAATTTGAAGTGCTATTTCTCTAATAGTTTTATTTTAGGGTTAAAAAGATAACAAAACTCCTTACTGTCCCTTAAGCCACACAAAATGAGGATATATATCCAACCTCCCACTCAATTTTCATTAGGATCACTGGAAATTTACTTTAGGCCTGGACTGGGTTCTTTTCACCAAGATATGTGAAGCAACATTGTTTCCATGGTTAAAATATTGGGTTAAGTTATAGGTTTTTTAATTAAATCCGCTAACTTGGGGACACATTTTCCCTAATTCTGTCGACTAAGAAGGTGGTCTTTGTAAGGCAATTTTTATTTTAATGGGGCAGGGGCTCAGCACACCAACGTGGAACGTTAAATATCCTGACCAGCTACTTCGGGTTGTATAAATTCAAGGGTCCCAGCTGGGGAAATCATACCCTTGATAAGATTACTGAGACTTTCTGAATCTCAGTGATGCTTGCAGGGAATCGTTATCCTGAGCGACAGGAAAGCCAGATGCCCCTGGAAGAGAAGGGGGCAGGGAAGTAAAGAAAAGAATTGAGTTGATCAGCATTGTTTAAAGCAGCCTTCACGGCTCATGCAGGTGCAAAACTGACAAACAGCAGCCCTGCTCCCAGGAGGCCTGTAGAGAGAAATCCGCAGCCCCAGTTCTCCTTCTAGTACTGCCGTAAAGCCTGGTGTTCCAGAGAATTCATTCCTACACAAACCAGATATGAAACGACCTTCAAGCTTAAAGGAATGCCTTCTGCTTCTGTCCTATAGCAAGGGGATTTCCTTGAATAAGAGAATGATAAAATCTAAGCCCAAGTACATTTTCCACTTACTCTTAAAAACAAACAAACAAATATTAAAATGTCTCTGGTAGAAATGTATTTCGGTTTGATTTTCGTTAAATCAGCAAAATGAAGAAATAGTTGAACAACCAAAAATAAATAAGAATCTCCAAAGTTGCCACCTTAAAAACCAACATTTGAGCACGAGCTTCTCTTTTTGGTGTCACTAAATAGTCATGTGACCTGCAGGATCTTCAGATTGAGCACGTACCTACGTATTCTCGCTAAAAATGTCAAGTCTAATAAAAGCTCACCTCCTAAAAGCTCAAAATGAGATACAGATATATAACTCTGTACATATGAGAATACGTGCGATTGGCCATTCATATTTCGATATAAAATGACAAATGTAGCAATATTCACAATACTAAACATAAAACTCATCATTTTTAGAAATTAGACTTGAGTTTTCAAGGAGAAAATCAGAGACAACTCATATGCTAAAGTTTACTTCAAAATGCATAAAATTATAAAAACAGATAATAATTATAACATTAGGAAATTATATAACTGCAATACTTACTAATATACTTTCTAATCCAAAAATTTCAGTGACTCATCAAGGCTTTCAGAATTCTACTGTAAAACAGGATAGCTCTAATGCAATTATTACTTGAATCAAAAAATAATTTCCTGTTATCCCATTTATTATGAAAGAAACGTAAGTCATACAATCACCTTCCGATTCACACAGAGTGGTGTGAAAGACACTTTCTCCAACCAAAAGTAGAGTAATTTTCAGCTGTAGTCAGCCAATGCAGCAGCCTGTAAAGCCTACTGAAATACTGATACCACTGTGAAGAATCTCACCACAAGTTTCTTGGGCTCCTGGGCAGCTCAGGCCCTGAAATTAGAAACTCTCTCTGCGTTTGAGTCTGCATACTCAAATTTGAAGACCTTAATGAATCATTGAAATTTTGCAATAGAAAGCACGTGAATAAATTTGACCAAAGGTAACAGTAGCCTCATTGGTTGCCTTTAAATATTGGATTACATTTTGTTTCAACTCCATATGAAACTTTCAAACTTTGGTGTCTTTTAGAGGAACGTACGGTAAAGGATCCTTGAGAGTTAAAAAAAAAAAAATTTACTTTTTCCTAATTTGATTCACAAAGAACGCTAAAAGATCAAGTTATATAGG